AGACCTCGATAGTCCACGCACATCCGTAGTGAGCCATCTTTCTTCTTCACAAATAAGATTGGTGCCCCAGCTGGCGACTTCGAATGACGGATGAAGTTCTTGGCTAGATTCTCATCAATGTACTTCCGCAACTCAGTCAACTCCGTCTGCGACAAATTGTAGATTGATCCAAAAGGTGGTTGTGCTCCTTCTTGCAATTCAATGGCACAGTCATAGGATCGATGCTCTGGCAGCATATCAGCATTCTTCTTTTCAAAGACATCTTTGAATTCTTCATACTGCTTTGGAATAACCAAAGTCGGAGTTGCATCTTCTCGAGTCGGAGTTGCAAAGATGACAAGAGGTATATTTTGCTTGGCTTCCTTCATGAAAGCCCTTGCACCTATAAACAAGGATTTGTTTCTAGACATTGTCTTAGCAGATTCCACCTTCAAGGAGTTTGTTGGAAATGTCACTTTCCGCAACTTCCAATCTATCAATGGATTATATCTATCAAGCCAAGATAGTCCCAAAATGATAGGATATGAAGGGGTCTTGATAACATTAAACACAATACTGCTCTCATGGTTTTCAAGACGTACCTTCAATGGTTTAGTTTCATGGATAACATTGCCTGAAGACAATGGTCGTCCATCTATGACTTCTACATGGACAGGCTTAAGTTTCTTTACAAGAGAAATATTGTGAAGCTTGGCAAACTCTTCATCTATAAAGTAAGTGGATGCACCCGAGTCTAATAAAGCATCGACTTGTAGTTCTTGAATACCCAGATGTAAAGGTACCATAAAACAATCTGAAGGTTGAGTTGAGAGAAAGGGACCTTGATTAATTTTGGATGTTGAGATGTCCAGCCGCACGGTCCCTATTGTGGCTGGGCGTCCTTGTTTTCCTGCATGCTTGTACTCCTGAGTCTTGTTATTTGAGGCTTCTGTTTCTTCCGACAATCTACAGCTTTATGGCCCACTTCTCCGCAATATAAACACAAGTTTTGTTCAAACCGTCGCTTCCTTTCCTCAACTGTGAGGGGTTTGAAACGTACCGCATCAATTTGCATGGGTTCAGGATCTGTGGAGTGATTCTCTGGACCTTTTGAAAATGTAGCAAATGCTCCATCATTTCTCCAGCTTGATCGTCTTTCTTGTCGTAATTCAAAGAGGCGGTTGTCACAAATAATTGCCTGAGATATAAGTTCTTCTAAAGTATCCACCTTAGGCATGGTGATCAATAAGTTCTTGACATCATCTCTCAGTCCATATCGAAATCGTGTCATGAACGCCTTATCATTCTAATCAAGATCACATATAAGCTGTTGAAATTCTGCAGCATAGATTGCAGCAGAACGTGATCCTTGTCGCAGATTTTGTATCTTTCTTTCAGCCACTCTTTCTCGATCGCTATCTCCAAACGCAGCAGTAAGTCTCTCTATGAAAGCCTCTAGGTCGTACAATATTGGAGAATCCTTCTCCAATAGTGGAGCAAACCAAGAGCGAGCATTTCCTGATAGAAGAGTACCTATGAAAGCAACCTGGGTAAATCCATTCGGATAACGAGAAGGGTATAGGCGTAGGTAAAGCCGTACTTGTTGCACAAAACCTCGAAAGTTGGCTCTTGTTCCGTCAAACTTGTCTGGCATACTCGCTTTTGGTTCTTTCGTACTAATCTTTGAAGTATCTATAGGGGTCGTATGTGACACATGTCTTGCTTCTCTCAATCGAATAATCTCTTGTTGTAGGCTATGAATTTCACGTCTAGCTTCTTCGGTCACTAGATCAATTTGAGGTTCTTTACTTGGATTACGAAGAAATGCAATCTCCTTTCGTACACTATTCATAAGAGCTTGAAGATCTGCAAGAATTGCCACTCTATTGTCTACTTGTGGAGATGCACTGTCTATGACCTGGTCTACTTCCATATTTAGAAAATAGATGGATTAAAATTTTGAGAGAAGAAGAAATTGCTAAGTCTCTTGGAGAAAATTGTAGCACTACCTGTCACTAAAACCTACTCGGAGAAAAGGAAAAAAAACACTAAACGATTTCAGTTTTAGAGGAGGGTAATCCGCAACCTCTAAAAATGCCTCAATGCTTTCGAGAAGAGGGGTAATCCGCACTCTATCAAGAAGGCAAAGCTCTGAAATCGATGTTAACAGTCTTTTCTACTAGCTATGCTAAACAAAAAGAAGGAATTAATATCAGTCCAAGAGAGGGTAATCCGCAACCCTTAGAACGCTCAAGTATCTCCAAGGAAAGGGATAGTCCACTCTCTGCTTCAAAGAACTAAGCTCTGATATTGTGATTGAGAAAATATCAGTTTAGAAGAAGGTAACCCGCAACCCCTAAAGCGCTAGAATACCTTCAAGAAGAGGGGTAATCCGCTCTCAAACAAGAAGGATTCAGCTCTGATATTAAGATAAAGGTAGTCTCGACAAACTGTCACGGACACAAAATACAGACTTGAAATCTAACAAGAAGTTCAAGAAGAAGTGGCAGAACTAGATTAAACAGATGAGTACAAGAACAACACCAGAAAGGTGAGCTAGAACTCCAAGAGATGTGTTGTCGAGACTGAAGAACTCTTCAGCCTCGACTCCTATATATATTACTGGCCTATGGTTCTAAGGAAGCGCATCAAGAAGCTTCCCAAGAACTATGAAGCTTCTCGAGCAACTACCCAAGAGCTAGGAAGCTTCTCAAGTAACTTCCTAGAATCTACTAGAATATTCTAAGAATCTTCTAGAGCCTTCTAAGGAAATCTTTAGGGAATCTTTGAAGAATATTCTAAGAGAATATTCAAGGAATCTTCTTGAAGTTTCTAGAGACTTCTTTCTAGAAGGTTCTAGAAACTTGTCTCTAGAAAGGTCTAAGGACTATGTCCCTAACACATGAAGAATATGAAAAATATCCTACAATGTGTGGTCTAGATGTTGGATTGCAGGGTAAATAGCACAGTATAAATAAAGTCTTCTAGTAGTGCCATGGTTTGATGGTTTTTTTTTTTTTTTTTTTTTTTTTTTTTATCATTTATAAATTCCTTGAGGTTTGTACATGTTAGTTTAGATTGAACGTGGAATTTTTCATATTGGTTTTTTTTCCAAATAAACTAGAATTTCTTTGTATAATGTATAATGTGAGGTTGGTTCAGGTGATTTAAGTGGATACTCCTCTCTAAAGATGTCTTGATTCTCCTTATCAATCAAGTTTGGTTGTTGATAGATGTCTCTCCCTTGTCTTGTAGCAGTTTCATAGCAATGAAGATTATATGCATGGGACGAAAGAGTTCAAGGTATGAGTTCCTTTCTTGTGTTACCACTAATTTGAACTTATTTGTCGTTGATGAAGTCAAGTTAGCTTAGTGTCCTTGCATGGTGTTGTGAGGAGGGTCTCTCCTAGTACTTGATATTGCCAATTGTAGGTTGGACTAATTAGGTTGTCTTTTTTTCCAATTCTATATATTTTGTGGAATTTATTGTGGTTTGTGGTTGTGCATTCTTTGTTCTCTACGAAATTCCTATCTATATTTTTTATGGTTGATCAATCTTAACTTGCACTCTAAAGCTTGGTGTTCAAAAGCTTAGCACTTAGAATATTGGTTTGAGTGCCCCAATACAATGATTTTGTGTATGAAAGAAGATTCTAAGGACAATCCTGATAAACTGATCTTGGATGATAGTTTGGCTATGTTTGAAACTTTGAGTTTGACTCTTGGTTCTCCTATTTTGTTCAAGTAGAAGGATGATTCTTCTATAAATAGTACCTCTTCCAATTAAAAGGCTTTGATCCTAAGGCAGGATTCTTATTGCATGTAATGGCTGAGTCCTAAGAACAAGACTTAAACTAGATATGCAAGAAACCTATATGTCTCTGTATTTTTTTGTTGAAAATAACAAGGTCCACAAGGTGAAGGATACTTTCTTACGTTCATGAGTAAGCAAAGTATTGAAGGTGTGCTATATACCTTCTTTATTGGAAAATGTGACTTTAAAGAAGCCGCTGCCTACTAAGGTGCAAGTCTCTAATGTGTAATGAAGCATTAAGATAGCCCATTGTGCCAAGGCTAATTGTCTTGGATTGATGCTTGCATCATAGCCGATGGCTATGAATTGCATCATTTAGTCACGGATTGCCTCAATAAGTTGATGCTCCTCAGAAGAAAAGATAATCTATAGCATATCAAGATTGGACTTTGATTGTGCGGCAACATTGGCTAAGTTGTGAAGGTGTTTGATTGATGTTGATTTCTTTGGGGCCATATCTATTTCAAAACATGGCTCTAGTTTGATTGGGATTACTACTTAGGTGGGATCTTAGCTAGTTTTTTGGACACTGATTCTCGAGGGAGGAAATAACGCCCTATGTCATTGCTATTAGATCTTTTGTATTAGTACCCTAATTTCTTTGTAACCATGTTTTAGTAGGTAAGTGGCTTGTAGTGATCAGCCAATTATACTTCTCATGGACTAATAGTCATAACTGACTGTGTACACTGATTTTAGAGGATGAAAGATTTGTTGTACTATATTTTGTGATTTAGTGCTAGACCTAATCAAAGGGTCATGTCCCCAGTACTATTTTCTCCACCACTCTGCTTTCAGTCTGCTCTACCATCTGCTTTGCTCTACTATCTGAGCTACATCTCTACAGCTGAAAGGTTGTAGTCTTCATTGGATGGCTTTTTCGTATCCACATGCACACTTTATCTTCAATCCTACCACATCCTCAGCCCTTGCAGCTCTCTCACCCCTCCCTTCCATTCTTCTCTTCAATAGAGTTAAAAGGCCATTTCAGCCATTGAAAATCTTCAATCACACTGCATAAACTGAAATTTACAAAATGAACTCTTGGGAAGACAAACCTACAACAAAGTCTATGCAACTATACTAGTGCACATTTTAAAAATCCACAGTATTGTTCATCTCATCAAATGTGATCAATACAAACAAATTGTAATACTATATTTCATTCAAAAAGTTACATCACTTAATTTGCAAGTCCACAATTATAGCATATTTTAATACCATATCTTGTTGATACAACCATGTACAAGTTAAACATCAAAAAATGAAGAAATTGCTGAAAAATATTCAGTGTTCGGTAACTCGAAGGCTGAAATCCTATCACAATGTGGCATTTAGTGGTTAGGCTCCATAACCTCAACCTAATTCAACAAGTTGCATTGAAACTTTCTTCACGATTCCTATCACCCAAGGTTTAGGGTTTAAGGTTCAGACCAGTTGCACCCTTCCAACCACATCAAATCATATAAAATGAACAAGGTTCGGGAAGACAATCCATGTACACAAGACTGGGAAATCGAGGTGCGCGTCGAGTCAGAACATAGTGGACTGAAAGGGATTTGAAGTGAAGGGTCCACACAATCTACATGATGGAAATCATAGACTGTAGACATGTACATATAGCACAAGATGAGTGATTCTAGAAGGGATACTTTAGCTCACGTGTCTAATTGAACTTCCACTCTGCTTCCAAACTTGTCTCGGAAAGACCCTCCTGATCACATCAGTTTTTTTTTCTTTTTTTTTTTTTTTTTTTTTGTTCTTTTTTGGTTTTTTTTTTGTTTGTGTGTGTGTATATATATTTTTTCTTACGAAGGGAGGTACTCGTACCAAATATCCTGCAGCTTTACCATGCCAATGGCATATAATGATACTGTTCCCTTTCATCAGGTCCTCCCATGAGTATGAACAAGTGAGAGAATCACCAGATGAACAATATCTTCAGACCTCGATCATGAAACCGCCAAGCCTACCAAGAAAGGAGCCGTCAACAGAACCTCTCAAGCTTCAGATTCCTACACATTTGTAAGAAGGTACCAGGCTGAGGCAGAGGTAAAAGAAAATCCCAGAGGGCATGTTGTATGGTATAACAAGCCTCAGTCTTCATCAAAGTACTTATCCTCAGCATCTCTAGTGATTTCTGGCATCCAATCATCATCAAGTGCTGCATCGTTATCAATTCGTTCATAATCTACATATTCACTGTCCATCCCGGACAAAAATTTCTCCTGCATCACCCTGGTGAGGTCCTCCATCTTATCACCCAATTCTGCAGGAGATAGATATTGAGAACTTGGTGCTGTCTCCTCAGCTTCCATGCTCTCCGACGGTTGAGGAGCCTCTTCATTTGAAGTTTCACCTGGAAACTCATCCTGAGAAATTTGACCCTGAGAGTCTGTACCATGGCTTGCTCTTGAATCAGGTACATTTTCCTGTGCTCTCTGTGGACTCTCCTCCTCGTCTTCCGACTCTGTGTCCTGGGGGGAAATTAATCCATATGTGACAGTTAAGCAACACTCAATGGTGGTTTCTTAAAAGATTGTGCATTAACCAATCAATCCACTTGGACGTAAGCTGAAAGGATAGGAAATGAATAACATATTCGATTAAGATACATTAAGTATTCCAAAAGTATACGTCAACAGGTCAAAAAATGCTTACGTATTCTTCTTCGAAATCGGATTCGTCCTCCTCGATTGTTTCTTCAACAGGTTCCTCAACTGGTATTCCTGCTGCTACTCTCTCTTCCCGCAAACGCTCTTGTATGTAAGCCTCCTCTGAGCGTCGAATCAGAGTATCAGAAAAACGCTCCCCTGGTCTGACTGCTGGATCCCGAATTGCCGGATCCTGCCAATCCTCCAAATGGAGATTACAGCACTTGCAAGGTCAAACTACCCGTGACGCAAAAACATTTAGCTACAGAAAAAGTTAGAATCAAGAGATTTGGAGAAATACACATGTACTTGAAATATGCGAAGTTCTGGTCCAAAAAATCATGCCTAAAATTCATAACCTAACATCCAGCAATGAAGGAAATACTTTCAACACACTGAACTGACAGGCGAAATCTTTCACCAGTCATATGAGCAGAAGCATCACACATAAATGCTCAAGTTCTGCAAATTCTAATTTAGTAACATGTTAGCGTTTTCGTGTGACATTTGTGTGAATTCGCGCCTACTCGAAGTCTAAATTTCTCGTGACCTAGTCGAATTTTCCATATTGAATCGCTTTTGAAGATTGTTTGAAATTGCCGTACCTGGAATTGTCCGACGTGCTCGTAATGAATCAGCGGGGACCGCATCCGCATCGAGTCTTCGGAAAAATATTGGCCATCCTGAACTAACCGATTCATGTATGCCAACCTCCGGTTCTGCACTATCGCTGCTCGCGATCGCTGGTCCTCGGCGCTCGGATTCATAGAGCTTCTCAGGTCCTTCAAATGCCAGTTCACCTCATAGTCATCTTGAAGAGCCTCAAATTCTTGCAGCTCAACAGAATTCAAACTCTTCCCGTAGCGTTCTGCCGCACACAAAGATTTTAAAATAAGATAAAAATCAAACGCGCAACCATAAACGCCCCTAATCCTTCTCAAGAAAACCAACCACCAGTCTTGGACAAATATTACTCGGACAGAAAACGAAACTAAATATACTGGATTCAGCAAATCCAATGGACCGAACCTAAAAACACAGCGGCGTCTCGGCGCAGAAGGCTCGTAAGATGGTCCTTGCGCTCAATTTGCGTGACGGACTCGGCCCGCGTGGCCAAAGCGTGCGGGAGATAGAGATCCGGCAGACGCGAAAGGCGCTCGCAAATCATGTCAATTCCATCACCACCCATCTCCGGAGATTTCACGTACTCTCGCCCCATGCCCCACTCGTATCCACTCTCGCACTCTCTCCCGCTTCACATGAAGCCCACAACTTCAGAATTCGATCACAAACCCCCCCATCAAAAGATAAAAATCGTGTTCTGCGAGTGAACAAAGGGAGGGTATCTGAAAACTGTGAAGCACCCCAAAAGCAGAAAAAACTAAAAACAAGATAAAAACCCTTTGTCCTAAGTTAAGCGTAAGATGGTATGACTGTCGCTTGTGTGAGAGAGCCTCTATACCTATTGGGGGAGATGGTTGGAGGAACAGGCACTTGTTTGCTTGAGGCAGACTTCGATGTGGCCGCTTAGCTGGCTTTTCTCTGTGGCTTTTAGGCTTGGAATAGGCTGCTGCTCTTTCCTTCACACTTGGCTTGCTCTTAGGGCTTCACACAGTGTCAAGTTTCAAGGACACGAGGAGGCGCTCACAAATTATCACTGTGCCATAACCTTCCGTTTCCGTCGATTTCACGTGCTCCGCCCCATGGCCCACTCTCATCCACCCTCTTTCAAAATAAAACTCCGCAGGGCTAGGGCTAAATCGACACGAAGCCCTCCATGGAAAAACCATACCACATACTGCAAGCAAACCTAGCCGGAAAAAGAAAAAGAAAAAGAAAAAGCAAACAAACAAACAAAACAAAACAAAACAAAAAAACCTCTCTAAACTGTGAGGCAGAAAAACGAGATGAACACACTGCTACCAATTTAAGCCCGGGTTAGTGTGAGTACCGTTTGTGTGAGACGTGGCCTAGCTATGGAGGAGGGTTAGAGAGCAAGGTGCTAATTTGCTTGCTTGAGGCATATTTTGGTGTGGCGAGTGCTCGCTGGCTCTGCGACGGTTAGGCTTGGAACAAGCTGTTCTCTTCTTTACACTTGGCTTGCTCTTAGGACTCGCTGCAGTGTCCAGATTCAAGTGTTTTTCGATTCTATTTCATAATGGAAAAAGTGTTGATGATTCAATGGGCGCCTATTTGATATTTCTGCAATTTTTATTATATTTATATATCCTTTTACTTTTAAGGATTTCTGGATTTTTAGTATTTTTTCGCCATATTTGTTAAACCGTATCTTTTCAGGGCATCACGCTATATTTCAAACATATCTATTGAACTTGTACGTTGTACATGCATTGGGAAACGTCCTTGCTGCTGTGGTCCTCGTGTGAGACACACCTCACAAATGCTGATAATCTACACTTGAAAACATACCAAGTCCATGCTCCGTAGCTTACAACTTCGGACAAGTTAAAGAAGCGCTTCTATCACCACCATGTTTCCGGAGTATCTATCCAATTGCAAGACCACGTACAAGTCTGGATCTCATGGGTGGTAGGACTGCTACTTCAGCAATCTAATATTGAGTTGACAAAAGATCATGTTGTACATGCAACCAACAGATCCTCGGCTACAAAACTTCTCTGCAATCACGTCAGTACACAGTTCTGCAACTCACGTCTAATATCATCTCCAAGCAAGCAAGCAGCAGGATAAGATGAGCACAACAAACGTAGTCTGAAACGAAACACAACATTGTTCAAGAAGTCCAGAAAAGAGCGAGACGATACATGAGAGAATACACTCTTCTTGGCTGAAGTCGTTACACTAGAGAAACACATCGGTACATGTAAATATGCGTGCACATCTCAGGTGATAGCACTTAAGGGATCTGTATCAAACAGCATTGGCTAGTCCCTAATTTTAATTCACAAGGTCCGCATAAGTGGAACCTCAAGGTTGTTTTTGTGCACAAGGTGGTCATGAGCTTCATGAAGCTCCCGCTCTTTCTTAAAATCTCTCGAAGAAGGCGGAGAATAGCTACTCACTCTTCAAAGCCAATTGGACAAAGCCCAAAAAAATAACCTAATCTCATATGGTACATACCTATTCTCTAATCGATGCCTCGCAGACCGAACCTCTCCTACTGTACCAATGTTCCTTTGCATCTCTCAACCTCAAAAACAAGACGAACCAGCGAGATTAATCCTCAAAACTGGCTGATCGGCTGAACCGGCCTTCCAGATACTCCTCTAGGTACTTGTTAGAGTGGGGAACATCCACACTGCTTAGATCTACACTGCATTGCGAGTTTGCGTCATCGTCTACGCCCAGCATTGCAAGAGCCAAATGGTTGCGGATGTTGTTGGTTGAATCGCCATAGCCATCATGAGCTCCTCCGTCCAGAGGGCACTCCACCTCTTCAGCATCCACAAGCCTTAAGCAAGTGCTCAGCGCTTCTTCGTGGTCGCCACCGAGAACTTGCAGGATCTGGAGCAAAGACAAAGGTTCAGTGAGGGTCCAAATGTCGTGAATCCTAAACCATGGCAACTTGAAATCACTTCCACGCTTCATCAAGGAGAAAGTATTAGTTGATTATTGAAAGGGAGGAATGCATGCCTGACTCATCTGTGCTCTCTGTTGAGCGGATTGTTGGGTGCAGAGTAAGGCTGCTATCACCATGCTGTTCATCTGCCCCTCATCGTATGAGCCTTGTAGCAGAGGGTCCACCAATCTGTTCAATGCTCTGTCAACCAGCAGAGGCCTTGCCTGTTCACGAATATTACTTAGGCAGGTTAATTTACCACCGATTGGTTTAGAAACAAGGGCATTAATTAACTTATATGGCAGGAGTTACAGCAGTAGAAACAACAGATCTAATCGAAGTCTTTGGTGTTAAGAGACTTGCCCAGTTCACGAGATTCTCTTCGCCTTTAAGCCTCGTGGTATCGATCGGTTTCCTACCCGTGATAAGCTCTAAAAGCACTACACCGAATGCGTACACATCGATCTTGTCGTTCACCCTCCCATACATGAAGTATTCCGGGGCCAAGTACCTGGTAGAGATATAACGCCAGTCAGTTATGTATCAACGATCGACTGCTACGTCGATGATACAGTGGCTGCAGGAAAGCGCCACAGTTTAATCCCACACCCCCCCCCCTTGCCAATCTATCACATTTTTTTCGTATCGATCTCGCCAGTTCATGCATTCAACGGCTTTGATATCCACAGGCATTCGAGCGTTTTGTTGAAAAGAAACAAATTCATTAGCAAAAAAACAAAGGTGTATGGCATTACCCAAACGTTCCAACGACGTCATTACACAGAAGGTAAGAAGCCTTGGTGGGTGCCCACTTCGCAAGCCCAAAGTCCGACAACTGAAGACATACAGGGACCATAAACTATACGTTAATAATTTTCATCTAAGTGCTATACTATACACAGTATGGTGGAGATAAATTTAGTAGCCATAGCACGCTTGAAGTCTGGCGTAACAAAGGGAAAAGAGACTGGATGAAACGGAACCTGAGATTCGAAGTCAGCGGTAAGAAGTATGTTCGAGGTTTTAACGTCTCTATGAATCACGGGCCTGGTGCAGCCCTTGTGAAGGTGCTCAAGAGCCTTGGCAATGCCCACTGCCACTTTGTACCGCACTTCCCATGGAACCATTGATGCCTCTTTTCCTGTAGCTATGATACAAACACAGCCGCATCTCAAACCCTGACCATGACCTCGAAAATCCACATTGAATGCACTAAGGCAATACAGCCAACCTTCCTCAAGCAATGTACACTTGGTGACAAGCTTGCTAATGACTGAAGTGAATTACCATGAAGATGGTCTTCTAAGTTTCCTTCGGGTAAATAATCGTAGACAAGAAGCCTGTGCGATGACTCCAGACAGTACCCAAGCAGCGAAACAATATGTGGGTGTTCCAAACTTGTATTAATTTCAATATCGATCGAAAATTCTTCTTCTGATTGTGGACCATGGTTCAGTCGCTTCACTGCCACTACCCTCCCATCCTGCAAGTTACCTCTGAACACCTCGCTTCCTCCTCCACGTCCTACCACATTATCTGCAAACAATCAAACTGCCTCATTAAGTGCTCTTGACGTGAGAAATGCAATCTGTTTGGAATGTTTTCTGAGCATTGACCCAATGACTAACCTGGAGAAAACATGGAGGTCGCGGCTTCGAGAACCTCATAAGCAAATGCAGTGATAGGTCGACTTAAGCGAAGGCAATCCACTTCTTGCGCTACTGACTGACAAGAATCTCTTGTTCTGCTCTTTCCATTCAACTCGTCAACCCTAAATTGTTTTGGTGGCAGTGGTGGTGATGATGATGGATCATGCCCTTGTTCCGGCAATTGCAAAGCCAAATTTATAACTGACAAATCACGATCCGCGATATCATTAGCTGGCTGAGACTTATTCTCGAATCCCATGGTTTGGTGCAGAAGGGGCCATCCTGGGACAAAACCATCCTTTGACGCTCTTGGCACTTCGGAATCAGCCACGGTAAGTTCAGGTTCCACGGGATCTTTGGCGCCTGAACCAGATGAGTTATTCAACTCAGCTGCGTCGTTGCTGTCCGGCTCTCGAAGGAGAAACATATCCGATCTCTCATCTTCAACCTCCGCAGCTCTTGGTTTGAGTTTGGCTGATGCTTTTAGCGTCCCTTGCGCACGGCGCTTGGAGAATGACATACGAAGAGCCTCAAAACCAGACGTGCTGTTGCGTCGCTCTGAGGGGAGCACACTCACGGGAGAGTTTGAGAAGTGTTCTTGCAGAACCGAAGAACAAGACCCAAAGCTCAAGTCCCGCTCACCACGAGTGCTCGAAGTGAGACTTTGTTGATAATGGGGCATCCCGGAAAGACTGGTGTTCAGCTTTCCAAGATCTGGATTCTCACTATCTCCGGACCCATCCAATCCAACGTCGCTTCCCAACTTCTTGTTCTGCCCAATCCGCATACTTCGCCGAAATACTTTGATCATGCCTAACCCTGAATCATACAGAAAAACAAGCATCAGCTGGTGAGGATCCATGCACTGGTTCATGACAATCAACGACTCAGTTGCATGACACTATTCACCTGGAAGGGATGTTAGCATGAGATTAAAAGGTTAGAAATGTGATTTACTTGTCATGCCTGTGCCGAGCGTTCCCCTTTTGTCAAAAATAATCTCGCCCTGGTCAAGGATTACAACAATGCAAGTGCGAGGCAGCCGCTTCAGACAGTATCTACCGACCGCCTTCGTCCGGCTGAAGAACAATCATATCTTTGTTAAATAGTGAGACATGAAGTAGCCGTTGCACCGATCATCAACACCAACAATCTCGTACACATGAGAACTTAGCATGACTACGAAAGGAAAAGGCACAGAAGGACCACAAAAAGTGCTGAAGACTTAGCGGCAGATAACTAACCCCACGGGGAAGCTGTTGTTGGTGCCGAGAATGAGTTTGCAAGCGTCATAACTCCTGGCAACCTCAACTAAGATGTGCTTGACCTTGTACCCACTGACGATCTCCAGTTGCAGTTTTATCTGCCATTCATAGTCTTCTGTTAAAAAAATGAAACATCAAAACGCCACTCTGAACCCTCCAATATAATCAGCAACAGAACGCATAATAAGATGAGGAGAGGAACAAACCTGCTTCAGATTGCACAAGGCTTCGTAGACTGAGAAAACTCCACGCAAAGTTTGGGCCAATTGCTGAACATGAGACTCCTTTTCCTTGGTTGTAGGCTCTGTTTCAGAATACCTATTGAATTAGTCAGCGAGAATGCAACTTCGACTACAGAGTTAAACTAAGCCGAATCTTGAAGAATAATACAGCATGGAACACAACGTAGTCAGTATCAAAACTAGCCCCGAGAATTACGCTTCAAGTGTCATCGTTGTGCTAAACCGCAGTCGGTGACACACTGACACGAAACGGTTTGTTACAGTCTACTCCACAAGCACAAAGGACCCTGCATTAAAAATTGAAAAAAAAAAAAAAAAAAAAAAAAAAAAAACTTCAATCAACGGAGGTATGTGAACCTGCTGAATTCGAAACCGAATTACATAAGGGATCGTCCAACACAAGACACATGTTCGGCGACGCTGGAGTTGAGAGGAAGATAATGCAAGGGATGAGAGAGAGATCGCAGCAGTGCTGCAGCTGAAGAGTTGAATCAGGTCATTATCGAATCACAAACAAATGGAGGAAATACACGCAACCTCTGGTACTCTCTCACCTATCTGAGATTTGAAGTTCTCTTCTTTTCGTAGGAAGGAAGAGAAAAACTGATCGAATCTTTGGCCTCAGTTTCTCGATCAATGGAATACTTTAAGATCTCCTGGAGGGATACCAAACTCCCTATTTCATCTGACATTAAGAATGCCGACTATCTCAGTCTAAATTCTGCAAACGGACCTTGCACAATCATGTGACATTCGGAGCAGTCCACGTGCTTCAAGAGCAGGTAGATGGTAAATCACATACGGACCTCAAATTTAGTCCTCCCGACGCTACGAGAGCTCCACGACCTTGAGATACTAAAAACCTCAGAGCTTCATCTCCGCGGAAGCACAGTTTGCATACTGTGGGGAAGAAAAATCTGCTGATCTAGCATTGTAGATGCAGACGTCTACTTCCTCTTCTTCTTCTCCTTCTTCTACCTCTACAGCTTACCCAACTGAGACGATCAGCCGCGGCCACATTGCCTCGTTTACTATGGAAAACTAATGAGCATACAAAGGTCATCAAGCGAGGTTTATAAAACTTTTACTCGAAAAAGGTGAACTGCGACTCCAGAGGAAAAGGGGACGGAATGGGAGTGCTAAACAGTTGATGCAACTTTTGACTCTTTCAACACTATAATGCCGGGACTGGGAGGAATATACACCCTTGAAATGTGCACTCAGACTCGAATGTGCCTCACAGCAATCATCAAACCTCTCGGGTGCACACGAAGTTATTGTTTCGATGCATCGGGTGAGAGCGGCCCCAGGAAGTTTGCAACGGACTTATTTATGGTGGGTCCGCTTCAATAGGAAATCACTCTCGCTCTCGTTATAGCTCACTCTCCAGCTCTCTCTCTCTCTCTCTCTCTCTCTCTCTTGCTTTCTCAACGAAAACAATTAGCACGCTTTTTTCATGCGACGAGGCGGACAAGGTGAGGGAGAAAAGGGGGAGAGGAAGAAAGAAGTGAAGCTTGCATTGTTTCGAACTTTGCGTGAGGTGTGGGCAGGGGTAGGTGAAGGATGAAACGAAGAATAGGGCGTAGCGATTGATCGGTACCTTCGAGCAGCGGAAACGAGGAGACATGCAATGCAAGGATGTGATCGCCGGGCTGGGCCAACTTGGCAATGGTCCAGGTGAGCATCTCCCTGCAAGAAGTGTTGAGCTTCATGCCCACCAGCAGCCTGCGTCCGCTCGCGCCCTCTGATGATTGTGTTCGGAGCGCAGACAGGTTAGCCATCTCCTCTACCCCCTGATACGCTGGACCAACTGCTGCTATTCTCTCTGCGCCCATCTTTCATGAATTCACCGCCCCTCCCACCCCTCTCCGCACCCTCAGCTCACAACTCTACTCTCCAAACTCTTTTCCTACGATTGGCTTCTTCACGTCACATCACCTTCGTGACCCATGTTTCTCTCTCTCCATCTCCACTCCAATTCCGCTCAACCAGATCTACCAATGCAGCAACCTCTTCGCCCTCGTTCAATACGACGTTAGCTCGCTTCCCACTTCTAACCACCTTTTCACTGAAATTCCAACCTTGCCATGGCTACCCCCTTGACCCACCACGCCCTCTCACCTGCCATCTCGCAAACCATTCCACTAACTCTCAACGATTGCTCCCAACCTCAATGCGCGCAAACAACTCGAGTGATTACCCCGCAATCCCACAGAATACATCAAACGACTATCCCCCCGGCTCACGACGCAGTCAAAGAAAACAAAACAATCAATCACGCCAGCAGATGACAAGCCGAGCTCCGAACGAGGCGCAGTGCGCGAAATGGCCCTCAAATGAGGCAAGTTCGGGTTTCTCGGAGATGGCCACGACGGTAGAGTTCACCTGGACGTCCTGGGAATCAGCCAAGTCAGGGGCCGAATCAATCATCAATCGCTCACTGCTGCTCCGAAGCGATTCTCATACCACATTTAGCCCTTCATCCACTAATTGTTTTTTTGTACTGTTTTTGTTATCTTTATTCTTTTTTATCCCTCCTGGAGAATCGGCCGCTGCGAAGCTCCAAATTTCTCCCTGGGTTACCACCACCATCACACTCCTAAGTTCATCATTCTCTGCGGTTTTTCTCCTTTCACTTTATGCGGGTGGATTTTCATAGACTTGCTCAGGAAGGAGACGACAGTTGGGTGCCGTAACGAGTGATTAGTCATACCCAGCGAGTGAAATCAGTGGCACCTCCGCCCTTCTTCTCCTCCTCCACCTCCTCCTTATGCTTCTTCTTCTTCAGTCTCTTACAATCAATTCCCCGTCTTTCAGTTTCGCTTTAACCGTAATCGCAGTTATAGCACACAGAATTCGTTGCGAAACGGGCGGCGCAACCCCGTCGCCAGTTTTTTTTTGTATCACGCTGCTCTTTTCGGAGCTGAAAGAAACGACCGCCCCACGCCAGTTGCCCTGATCGTCTCTCTTTTTCTTTTCTTTTTTCACCATCGACGGCAACGATTTCACCCCGAAAGACTGACAGAGAAACCAAGGCAAGTGGGTGAGGGGTTTGAGCTCTGTATGTCCGAAGCTGCGACACTCCTTGACCCGTTGTGCTTGGCCCTGCGTTGCTTGCTGCAACTGGCAGAGGAGGATTGGCAACTTCACACTCACACTCTCTCTCTCTCTCTCTCTCTCTCTTTACCCCCTCCACTCGCTAGCTTACTCGCAGGGCTGCTTGCTCATCATCCAGCCATGACTGCACAAAGAGGAAATCATAGGGCCATGAGCAGCAGTAGCAAGCTTGTATTAGACTGCATCATCACGCTTGTGATAAAATCTGATGATGACTTGTGAACCCCTCTCTCTTGCCCCTTTGTTGTTGTTCCCATCATGCACTTCCTTCCTTCTATTCATTCATTCATCATTTCCCTTCTTCCTGGTTTTGGAAGCACAGCTCCTGAAGGAAAGAAAGGTGGGGTGGGGGTATATGCCGTTTCTGTCCTGGAACGGAGTCCATCATCATCAACACACCATGTGTGGATGGATACTCTCCCACTTCACTCTCTCTGTCTCTTCATCAGGTGGTGGTGTTCCAATGGGACTGTGGTCATGAATGGGCCTTGCAAGCCAATCATTGAAACCCCCTCTCCCCCATAACATACTAATGAACTACTCTCTGGAACAATGATAATAATTAATAAAGTAAAAACAAACAAATGAACCCATCCATCAAAAGAGCAGCGAACGAAAAACGGGCAACATCATTCCGTTGATTAACCCCCTTCCACCCACGACCACAAGGCGTCGAATAGCCTGCACCACCGGTGATCGGGAATAGGAGAGTTGCTGCTGCTGCAGCGATGTGTGGTCGTAGAATGAATACTTTGCTTCACCCGGAGGCATCGGGAGCAATGGGATGCCAGGAAGGAGCCACCGAAGACCAGGCCCAACGGATGCCTTTCGCCACAGTCAGCCTCAATTATTTCGAAGCAGCCTGGAGCGTTGAAGGTTGTGATGTCGGGGTTGCGGGGAGGGGAGGGGCTAAAGCAGGCCGAGGTGCTAAATTAGGCGGAGCGGGACGACGCATGGATGTGGTCCGCTGAATCACTGTGGACAGAAATTATGACTATTGGAGTTGTCTCCATCTGCCAATTGGGATATCGGCGAGGCTGCCCCTCTGCGGAACTCGGCCATCGTTGCAGGGAGGGGGTGGTGCCCCTCTCCCTCGCTGTGGAGAGCAGCATTTCTTCACACAGTTCCGATTTAGCGTGCGTCGGACGTTGGACACAGTCGCACCAATCCCTCGGTGGCCACTTCGGAGGGGTCATCGCGATGTTCTTCCTCTCCACCAGGTATCTATCTATCTTAGCTCCCCCTCCCTCCGGATGATCCAATAATTGCAGACACCAGACGCTTTTTTAACAGCACAATAATTGTGGCCGGGAGAGAGAGGGGGAGAGCCCACACCCACCCTAAAGAGCCACTTTGTCTCACACCCAGGTTGCTTTTTTGTCCGGCCGTAAACGGAGCAAAGCAGCACGGCCTTCCCACTTCCTATACACCCCTCTCCGAAGCTTCAAAGCTTTAGTTTCGTCGTGAAGCAACAACATTCTAAACCCTAATTTTCCCAAAACCCTCGTCTTGGATGTTGCGCCACTGCAGTCACCCCCTTCATTGAACACAGCATTTGAATAGTGAAATAGACACACTCACTGGTCGTGTGAGTGGAAGGACATGCTTTGGAATTACAATGTCTTTTATTTAAATTCCTCATCGAACACGTGCAGCAGTCACGAAATTTAATTCAATTAAATTTGTTAAAAACATGGTTATAAGCTTTTCCCAGGTTCACTGGGGAGCACATGGAAGAAACCCTAGGAGGGGACAGCTTCACTGTGTATAAAAGAGTTATTATGTCTTTGTCTCATAGGCCATGGAGTCTACTTGTCACTCTTCTACTGTACATAATACAGTCTTATTTTATGGTCCACATTTTGTCAAATGTATTCATGGGTTGAAATGCTGTGGTTGGGAGTTATCAATCTGTTTTAGTGTACACCTACAACAGAGCCTCCAATATTTCATACATATATATATATATATATATATATTTTCTAGTGGAAACTCGTGTAGTTGGCCAAAAAAAAATTTGTAAACTATGTGTTGTAAATTAATCCTTTGTTTAAGGTTTCATATGATGTGAAACTCCATGTTACTTGCAGTTTCATGTTGTGGTGCTTTCCAGCTCCATGCTAGGAATCTCGCAACTCTACTATTGGCAATCTACAACAACAACATGCAGATTTTGATCTCTTGTTGATCAAAAGTTGAGTTATTGCTTCACTTTTGATGGAAACAATGAGATATGTAGTCAATCAAAGATGGTTTTTTACTCCTTTGATTTATCTCCCTTGAGTTGTTTTATATAAGAGATGAGTGTTTGGTCATAGACCATGTGTGACTTGTGGGGTCCTAGTTGCATTCTAGAAAGTCTTCTAACTTTTTTGGATTGAGAAGGATACTTACAAATTAGAGTTGAAGTTGGAGAGAGAAATCCTCCTTCAAGAGGTATAAGTTTTTTGTGGTTCCAAATTGTGAATGGACCTAAATAATAACCTTTGGAGCCCATGATATTAATTAAAGACACACACAAAGTTTGGACTTTGTACATTGCTTGGCATTCTTTGAATGTGTATAGTGTAGATTCTTCAACTTGTGGGACACAAAGATAACAAAAGCTTTTGCAAATTGCACATCTAAAAATTAGATAAATAGGTAAAATTCTAAAATTGAATGCCAATAATAAAACCATTGATATATGTTTACTGAGAAAAAATATTATTTATGAAATAATATTTAAAAATTAAAACTTATAACATGAGTATTATTATTATTTTCTAATTTCTAAAAAAATCATTGATTATTTTACCTTTCAACATGGAGAAATAATCTAATCTAAATATTTTCTATTTGTATTTTTTGAATTACAATATTATAGTTTTGGGCCCAACAATCTGTTTAATAATATGTCTTCAACAATGTTTGTATAGGTATTTGAAGTAAAAAAGATAGATAATAGCAGTTACTATACAATATGCAATCACTTTTAGTATTAATTTTTTAAATTATATAAATATATAGGTATATATGTAGGTTCAATCTTGATTTTAAAATGAAACAAAAATATAATTTAATTTTTATTTATTTATTTATTTTATACTCAAAAATGATATAAATTTATTATAATTTAAATAATTAATTCTATCATTTATATACACATATCATATATATATATATATATAAATATAATTAAAATAATTACATACCAGATCTTAAATTTGTAATTTTTTTTAATAATGTGTAATATGTACATATAAAAATATATAATTTTAAATATATATATATCTATATATATATATATATATATATATATATGTAGGTATATCTTAGAATATGATCTATGACAAAATTTACTTTATAAAAGAAATGCAATAATATTATTTCTATATGTTTAGTTTATTTTTATGGGCTTTGAATTTAAATGGTAATAATATTTTTTTATCGATGGAAATACAAAATTATTTATAAAGACAAAATTATTTAATTAATAATTTACTCACTGTTTAGATTTGGATGTAAAATATGTAATTTTTTATAATAATATAGAAATTAAAAATTACTATATATACATATATATATATATATATATATATATATTCTTATCATGATTTTATTTATGGGTTATTTTTGCATATTCATTTGTAGTTTTAAGAGTTTAAATTTTAAAAAAAATAAAAATAGTAGATGCTATTTTTCTATTCTAGAGATGTAATTAAGATAGAAGTTATCTAAGTTATAATTCATGCCAAAAAAACACTAAGAAGATACTCTTGTTGTTATTGATTTAGTCAAAAAGAATGTTATTATGCAGTTCTACTTTCTAAACTTTATTATATGAATTTGAGTGAATGTTATATCTTAAAATAAATTGTTTTAGTTAAAACAAATATAATTTAAAGTAACACAAGAATTTTTTTTAAAATAATAATATTTAAGTTTACTTTTTGCTTTAGATTTGCAAGATTACAAAAATTTAAAGTATACTTTTTTTTTACTTTTTTAAAAAATAAGTTTTAGAAATAAGATGAACTTTTTGGTCTTTTACAATTATTTTGTAAAGGAATGAACTTTAATCTCTCTCTTTCTATATATATATATATATATATATATATATTCAATAAGCATATTTAATATTTTTATGATACTTGTTGGTGATATATTCGACACTATATGTTTGTTGGAATTTAAATATTAGTTATGAAAGTTTAGATCTAAAAATTATTTATGTAACTAGTGCATTTGAAGACAATTAAAAACCAAACTTGCATTTATGTAGCTTCTATTCTATTTTCTAAAAAAATGTTATCAACTTCACCTATGGCTACTAATTGTTAAGTTTTTATGAAAAATAGATTTGTGTGATATTTGATAGTACACTAGTTTAAAATCAAGTAAAATTAAGAATTTAATAAAATAAATAAATTATAAACTTTAAATTATACAAATAAAATAATTTGAAATTTATGATTTTTTTTGTACTCACTTGTTAATTAATTATATATATATATATATATATATATATATAAGAATTTTAAATAGATTCATATTTTTAGTAAATTGATCCATTCTTAATAAAAATAAAAAATAAGGAAATCATGATAAATGTGGTTGGTTTTTATTGGTTGCAAATTCAACTGTTAAAAAGTGTATCTATAGAGGTAATTTTTTTTTATTCATGATGGTTAGGATAGGTTGATTGATTTAGTAAAAACGTAGGTCTATTAAACATTATCCTTTATATATATATATATATATATATATATATATATACTATTTATTTTTTTAAGTTTGTAAAATAGATTTTGACATTGTAATTTTTAAGCACACTTTTTTATGCAAAGAAAGGAAAAGAAAGAAGTCATCATAAATATATGCAATTTTAATATGATTCTTAAAACATTTACATGTATTTAAATTTAAAACTTAAAATACCTACAGACATATTTATTTAACTACTACATTTTGTTTAAACTCAAAGTTATATTATCTTGTAGAGATAAGTATCGTATTTAATGTTTCTGTTTATTATTATTATTTTATATTTAGTTGTAATTTGTTCTAATGAAAGCGTAATATTGCCTTATGAAAATTTTAATATTAATACAAGTAGATTACTGCCAAGAAAATAGAATATTCAATTAACATATATATATATATATATATATATATATATATATCTGATCAGTGTTGGTTATTTCCATTGACTGCACATGTGTTTATGTAGTAGCATTTAAATGCTTATTGATTGATTGATTATTTGAAAAGGTGATATAAATTCTGAACATGAAATACAGCCTTCTATGTTGCAGAGGTATTTATGAGGTTTTAAAAGTGGAAGAAGGGCCTAACTGAAACATCAAGAAGAAAAATTTATTATGAATGAACAGAGGGGCCATAAAACACCTTTTGAAACGTTTAAAATTATGAACAGATTTAATATTTTTCACAAATAAATATGATTTTTTTATATTTTATTGTGAGTTTTATTTATTTATACATTTTTTTGTTTTATTTCTTCCCTTATTTTTTATCAATGAAGATTAATCTAATTTCTGAAATTCTTGCTTTCTGTTTCTACATTACTCTAAACCTTACAGTGG